TCGTTACTTTAATAAGACTTTATTATGATGAGATGATCTTCAAAAATTAGCCAATCATGATAAAGCCCGCTATGCTGCGGAAATCAGGATATTGACAATCTGATCAAAGCAACATACAAGAATAAACTTAAATTTAGATTAGAATGGATACCATTTAACGATTTTACAGATATAACTCCAATTGGAACTGGTGGTTTTAGCGAAATATATACCGCTACATGGACTAAAGGAAGAATAATAGGTTGGAACAACACAACAAAAGAATGTATAGAAGTGGGACTCAAATGGTTGCATTAAAACTTCTTAAAGATTCCCAAAATATTAATTCAGCATTCTTAAAGGAGGTAATATTAGATAAACTTTATTTAACTATTAATATTGTAATCTAAAAATTTTGTCAATTTTGCTGCAGTTACAAAATATTGTTAAAAGTCAGCCTAATTCCACCAGGCGCCACATTATTCAATGTTATGGAGTGTCACAAGATCCAAATACAAAAGATTATATTTTTGTTATGTCTTATATGTCTAATGGAAGTCTAAATAATTATTTATCAAAAAATTTTAAGGATTTTACTTGGAAAATGTAACGAGACTTTCTTAAAAATATTGTTACAGGCATTAAATGGATTCATGAAAATAAAATTATACACCGCGATATACACGATGGAAATATATTAATAGGAAATGATGGATCTGACTCTTTAATTGCAGATTTAGGATTTAGTCGACCAGCAAAAGATGATCTGGAAAGCTTAGAAACGAAAATATATGGAATCATGCCATATATTGCACCTGAAGTGTTAATCAAAAAGCAATATTCATTTAGTTCAGATATCTATAGTTTAGGAATGATTATGTGGGAACTTACATCTGGACTGCGTCCTTTCTATAATAAGGCATATGATTCACATCTTATGCTTGATATATGTAATGAAAATCTTCCGTTACGACCAAATATCACAGAAGATACACCACATTGTTGGGCAATTTTGATGCAAAAATGTTGGCAGTCGGATCCTTTAAAAAGGCCATCTATTAATGAAATATTTAGTGAAGTCATTTCTAGTTATTGGGACGTAGATAAAATTTTTATAGAAGCTGAAAATAAACGAAAAGAATTACTTAAGTCCGGACAATTTATAGCTAAATATATGCATCCTTGTTCTAAAACACACATACCATTATTAAATAATTTTCTTCGTTTTGTTTCATCTTAACAAGACAGTATCATAAGTAAGTCTAGCAATATAATATAAATTGATAAAATAATTAAATGTGTTAAATTTAAACTTACGATCCTTATTGTTGTCTTCAATAGTGTGTTTTTTTAAAATTGATGGGTTTATCGTTGAATTTAGATTGTTAGAATTTTTAAGAAGTTCAGGACTGTATAATCATTTAATTAAAGTAGTTACTAATTTATTTCTTTCAAAATCTTAATCACAAATAAAATGATAGACTCATTTACTTACGTAAGATTAAATGAAAAAATGCTAATATTTTGAGAAGAATCCGTAGAGCCTGATGTAAAAAATCTAGAATTTTGAAATAATGAAAGCATCGAGTCTATTGTAGGATTTAATAATTTACT